TGAGGGCATTGCATGACATGGATTACATGCATGCAGGCAATACACTCATACACATAAAATTAAAATAATAAATAAATAAATATAAAAAAGAATTTTAAGTATAAGACACTTGGGAGGCCAGGCATGGTGATACATACCTAGTATCCTGGTACTTGGGAAGCAAAGGCAGGGGGATCACTGTAAGTTTGAGGTCAGTAAGTTCCAGATCAGCTCCACAGTGAGACCCTGTCTCAAAAACAAACAAAAGAAAAGAAATGCCTAATAAAATTAAAGATCATTCAGATTATATAAATGTTCAATGAAAATATTAAAATATCTATATCTAACATGGATCAAAGTATTTTTATGTAATATGTTGAGCTCTTATTATTGCGATAAGTCTTGTATTTATGTATTAATGTCTCTTTTTTCTTTTCTTGTAGTACTGAGGACTGAACCCAGGATCCGGTACATGCATGCTACATCCTCCCCCCCAAGCCCTTAACCCTTTTCTTAATAATCATACAAAAGGTATTAGGATTCACCTTTTTCTGCAGAGGAGGCTAAACTTTAGGAAGAATAAGGAATTTGACCATTTCTACCCTGAAAGTAATTAGAGAATTGGAATACAAGACTATGTCTACACTATGCGAGAGAATATAGATGCTCTATATATTTAAAAAATAGAAAATATTGACAAAATTGTTTCTGAGCCCAGGGGAAGAAAGTGGGCAGAAAGGAAGCACAGGAGCAGTAGTGATGGCTGATGGCCCAAGGCCCCTAGGCCTGTGATGGGGAGATGACCAGGACAGCTGGTGGAATGAGCCTTAGATAAGCCTTAGGCAACTCTGCCACGATTCAGAACAGGAGAGGAAAGGCACCAAGTTTTCAGATGGGAGAGAAATTGGGAGTTCTTGTTTCACAGTCTTATTTTTTCAAGGAGATTGAAACCTCATTGCCACAGGAGAAGACAAGGGCCTGGGCTTGTGGAGGGCAGTGGCAAGGGCACCACAGCCACAGCTGAAGATTGAAACTGGGTGTTGGCTCTGCAGAGATGAGCAGGGCGGGCAGTGCTGAGCCCTGCTGCGCAGGCAGGGAGCTCCGAGTGACACCTTGTGGCTGTACAGCAGCTTTGGGCACCGTAACAATCAGCAGTGTGAGGGATTGGAACGACCTGGCGTCGAGGTTTTCTAAGGCATTGTGACAGTGAGATGAGGCCAGACAGGTGGTAATAGGTCCTGAAAGGGATGGCTTGGGGAATGTTGTCTGGGAATATTCTATGGCAGTGAAGCCAAAAGGGGTGCAGCAGTGGGATAAGATGTGCACAAACCAGGGATCTTAAAACCTGGGTGTTCATCAGAATCCCTTGGAGTTTCTGATTCAGTAGATCAGGGACTGCTACAGTTTGAATCTTTTTTTTTTTAAATTTTATTATTTTTATATTATGTGTATGCATATATTGTCTGCATGTAGGTAAGTGCACCCATGTCATGCAATGCCTGCAGAGGTCAGAAGAGGCTGTTGGATCCCCTGGGACTGGAGTTACACACAGTTATTATCTGCCATGTGGGTGCTGGGATTCGAACCCCTGTCTTCTGCAAGAACAACCAGTGTTCTTAACTGCTGAGCCATCTCTCCAGCCCTACGGTTTGAATCTTAAATGGCCCCTACACGCTCACATTTTAAAGGCTTGTTCTCCAGCTGGTGTCACTATTGGAGGCTGTGAAACCTATAGGAGGTGGGGCCTCCCTGGCAGAAGCGTCCATCCATCGCCAGAGAGGCTCTGAAGGGTATAACTAGCCCCTAGGTCTTGCCTCGCTCTATTTCCTGGTCTGCAGTGATGCAGACTGCCATGTATTAGTTACTTAACTTGCTGCTATGACAGAATGCTGGACAAAGGCAACTTAAAGAAGGAAGAGTTTATTTAGGCTCACGGTTTGAAGATCCTGTGCATGGCAGGAGGCACAGTGACTGGAATGTGAGGCTGCTGGTCACCTTGGATTCTCAGTCAGGAAGCAGAGGAGATAAGTGCTGGTGCTCAGCTCACTTTCTCATTTCTTCCTTTTTATTCACCCCAGGATTCCAGTCCATGAGATGGTACTGCCCAGAGGAGTGTTTTCTAGGTGATTCTCAGTCCAGTCAAATAGACAGTGAAGATGTACCATCACAAGTCTCCATGTAGTCTTACTATTGCTTATTGTGGCTCTGCCCTGCCTTCCCTTCCACGGTGGACCCAGACCCTCAAGACTGTGAGCCAAAACAAATCCTTCCTCCCTTAAGTTGTTTCTGCCAGGTGTTGTCACAGTAATGCAAAAGTAACTAATACTGGGCATTTGCATTGCTGAGGAGTTGCTAGAGGTGCTTAGGCCACTTGATCAGGGAAGGCCTGGGAGTAGTTTCCAGAAGAGCTGGAAGAGGGCTGTGGGGAGGAGGCCAGTGAAAGCTTTTCTCTCCTCAGGTATCATGATCTGTAAGGGGACGGGTAAGTTCTGGACTCAGAGGAATTTAATATGTAACAGAATGTACTAACCCTTAGAGGACATCAAACACACACACACACTCCCACACTCACAGTCTTATATACATACTCACATACACCACACACACACCACACACATGCACTCATACACTCACATACTTGCTCAGTTACACACATGCTCATGTGCTCACACATACACCACACCACACACAGTCACACACACGCTCACATACACTCTCATACACACGCACACACATGCTCATTTACACATACCACACACACTTTCACCCCCCCACATGCTCACAAGCTCACACATTCACACACATTCTCACACATTCACTCACACATATACACACTCACAGATACATACGTACTCACACACACACCATGCACAGTAAGTCACACACATGCTCACACACCACACACTCTCACACTCTCACAGTCACATGTTCACATACTACACACAGTCACACAGTCACACTCTCACACAGTCACATATTGACAGTCACACACTCATACATACATACTCACAGTCTTACACACACAGACATACACAGTCACACACACACACTTATACTCACATGCTCACATATGCAACAAAGTCTTCCCTGACTCTTGGTTGGCAGAGATCCTCTGCTTCCTTGTTGGGCTCCTGCATTCTCTCCTAGGCCCATCTGCATATTTTCCTGTAAAATGCAGTTTTTTAGCAAAGAACTCTGCCAAATCCTTTTAGGCAGAACCCCACATCTTCATTATCTGATTGCTCTCATGATAGGTTTTTGTCCTGCTCCAACTCCCAGGTGATGCTTGTTTGTCCTGGCCAGTCTTCAGTAAGAATCCTGTTAGGTCAGTTTACCCAGACTCCCTCTTACTCTTGATATTTCCTCTTGGTAATTTTCCATCCACTGACCCTTACCCTACCCCTTGGCTACAAATTCCCATGTTTGTGCTGTTTTCAGAGTTGAACTCTTTCTTCCACTGAAAGAGTCTTGTAGTGGTAGCTAATTTGGGGGCAATGGTCTTGAATAGTTTTCCTTATGCTTCTTTTACAAGTATCATTGAGTAACTTTTTCTTTGACAGGTTCGTTTTCTCCTTAAAGGAAGACATGTCTTCTTTTTAGCATGCCTGTGTTTGCCCACGTTGAGCTCTGCAGCACTTCTGACACCTGCTACCTTTTTCTGGTAGACAGGTAAAATGCTTCAGGGTCCCTATACAAGTTACTCTTCTCATTGCAGTGACAAGATACCTGAAAAAAGAAGTTTAAGGAAGAGTTTATTTGGGCTCACAGTTGAGATTATAGTCTGTCAAGGCAGGGAAGTGAGGTGGCTGGTCACACTACATCTAGCCAGGAAGCAGAGGGGGATGTTAGTGTCCGTCCCAGTTGCTTTCTTCTTGATTTCTCTCTCTCTCTCTCTCTCTCTCTCTCTCTCTCTCTCTCTCTCTCTCACTCTCTCTTTTCCCCAACAGGGTTTTCCTGTAGCCCCAGCTGGGCTAGAACTCACTATGTAGCTCAGGATCACAGAAATCCACTTGCCTCTGCCTCCTGAGTGCTGGGATTAAGGTACCACCATGTTTTACTCTCTTCTTTTTTGAGACAGGGTCTTCCTGTAGCCCCAGCTGTCCTGGAACTCACTATGTAGACCAGGTTGGCCTTGAACTCACAGAGAGCCCCCTGCCTCTGCCTCCCGAGTGCTGGGACTAAAGGCATGCACCACCATGCCCAGCTACTTTCTTCTTTTTATTCCATGGGTTTGCAGCCCATGGAATGAATGGTGCTCTCATTTTTAGAATGGGTCTTCCAAACTCAATTAAGCCAATCTAGTAACATTGCCAGAGACATGCCCAGTAATTTGCCTTCTGGATGATTCTAGATCTTGTCAAGTTGACAGTATTAACCATCACAGTCCCTAAACAATGACTTCTGCTGGTGACAAATGTAAACCCTTGAAGGTTAGTCTGCAGGCCAACCACTTGTGTGATCTCTCAAGCATCCAGTGCAGCTCTTAATCAGGAATCTAGAAACCTGAGAAAACCTCCTCAGACCTTGCTGAGCGTACTGTCAGACAGTCAGAGATGCTGACGAGAGAAATGGTCTCCCACAGAGAGAGCCCTTGAAGGGCAGGAGAACTGGCAAGCAGGTCTCCAAACAGTCTGAGCTGTCTCCTGACAGCACCAAGGCACATATCCTAGGATCTATCTGCCTAGTACTCCCAAGGGCTGAGGGCAATGATTTCCTACTTTCCCTTCTTTCTCATTAGGTTTTCATTGCTCCACGCATGGCTTCATTTAATCTAGTTATTTAGTTTGTTCTGTAATGGGAGCCCATAAACTCAGCATCCAAAACAAAACAAAGCCATGGCAGATCCTGATGATGGTATAATTTGGACCTGGAATGCCTGCCAAAGGCCTATTTGTTAAAGGCGTGGTCCCAGGCTTGGCTCTTTAAAAGATAAGGCCTGTTGGGAAGCATTAGGTCGTTGTGGGCATGCTCTTAAAGAATTTACTCCTATATTATGCTTGTTCATTCCCAGCTGCCAGGAGGTGAGCAGCTTCTACTCCTGCCACAAACACTGCCTTGTCACAGATGGAGAAGCAATGGAGCCAGCTGGCTAGAAGCTGGAACCCCCAAAACTGTAAGCCCAAATAAGCTTTCATCTTTATAAGTGGATTACCAACATATTTTGTTACAGTGACAGAACGCTAACCCTTGACAGGAACTGACATGGAATCATAGGTTTCTCTTCCATCCCAAGGTCCCTCCTCCCACTGCTTGAGTAACCTACACCCTAAATCTGGCACTTGTCATTCCTTGTTTTTCTCTGTATATGATGTTAAACTTTCCTTTAAAAAATTTTTTTTCATGTGTATGAGTGCTTTGCCTGTAAGTGCACCCATGTTGTGCAGTGCCCGAGGAGGCTAGAAGAGGGCTTTGGATCCCGGGGAACGGGGAACTGGAGTTAGAAACAGTTGTTAGCCGCTGTGTGGGTGTTGGGAATCAAACCCAAGTCCTCTGCAAGGGCTGTTAATGTTCTTAATCACCAAGCCATCTCTCCAGCCCCAATTTTGTTATCGTTTATTTTGTTTTGTTTTGGTTTGGTTTTTTGAGATACACTCTCACTCTGTAGCCTCAGGTGGCCTGGAACTTATGCATAGACCAGGCTGGTCTCCCTTTCATAGAGATCTGCCTACCTCTGCCTCCCGTGTGCTAGGATTAAAGGTGTGCACCACCATGCCCAGCTTAAACATTTTTTTCCTAAATGGAATTTTTAATCACACAGCTAGAGAGACTAATCTTGCTTTATTTTACCCCCCCTTTCCCATTTATACTTCTGGGTTAAACCTAGGGCCTAATGCTTGTTTGGTAGGTGTGCTACCGTTGAGTTATATACTCAGGCCCTTTTTCTATGTTTTTATTTTGACACAGCATTTTGCTAAGTTGCTCAGACTGGACTTGACCTCACTCTGTAACCTATGCAGGCCCTGAACTTCTGATTCTCCTACCTCAGCCTCCAGAGTCATTGGGGTTATAGACATGTGTCACCAGACCCAGTAGTTTCCATATCCTTTAGGCACTTGTGTTCTGTGTGTATATGTTTCTAAAGGATATCTATCCTTAATTTGCATTGTTTTAAACTTCATAAAAATATATCTTGTGGGCCGGAGAGATGGCTCAGTGGTTAAGAGCACTGACTGCTCTTGCGGAGGACCCGGGTTCAATTCCCAGCATCCACATGGTGGCTATGAGCCATCCTTAACTCCAGTTCCGGGGGAATCTGATGCCCTCTTCTGAGCTCCTCGGCACTGCACAACACTGGTGCAACTCACATACATGTAGGCAATACACTCATAAACATAAAATAAAAATAATAAATAAAATATATTTTTTAAAAAAGGGGGCTGGAGAGATGGCTCAGCTGTTAAGAACAGTGGTTGTTCTTGCAGAAGACCTGGGTTTGAATCCCAGCACCCACATGGCAGCTGATAACTGTCTGTAGCTTTAGTCCCAGGGGATCCGAGTTTCTTCCGACCTCCGCGGGCATTGCAAGACACAGGTGCACTTACCTAAGTGCAGGCAATACACACATACACATAAAATAAAAAAAATAAATAAATTTTTCAAAAAATTATAAAAAAATTGGTCGTGGTGGTGCATGTCTGTAGTCCCAGCACTTGGGAGGCAGAGGCAGGCGGATCTCTGTGAGTTCAAGGCCAGCCTGGTCTACATGGCGAGTTCCAGGACAGCTGGGGCTACAGGGAGACCCTGCTTCAAAGAGAACAAAAAGGAAAAAAAAATATATCTTGTTATATAAATTCTTTGTGGAGCAACTTTTTCCATGTAATAATATATCAGCAAAAATTTGTATTGCCGCATGTCACTCTAGATCACTTACTTTGTGTGTAACAGTCCATTGCATGCTCACACCTTGGTTTATTTTTCTGCTCTGCCACTAATGCCCATTAGGTTTGTATGTACGAATAGCATGGCTATGAATAGTCTTATATGTTTTTGTTCCATACTGGAACACTCCACAAGTGGAACTGTTTAACTTGAAGTGAATGCTGGATTTCTTTCCAAAGTGACTACACCAAATTTCTGGCCCCACTGAACGCTGTACCCCCTTCTCCACCCAAGTCTTCTTTTCCTCTCTAAGCCTATTATCTATAGGTTTATTCATTTTTTAAAAAATATTTTATTATTTCTATTTTATGTGTGTGAGTGTATTGCCTGCATGTTTGTAAGTGCACCCGTGTCGTGCACTGCCCACAGAGGTTAGAAGAGGACGTCAGATCCCCTGGAACTGGAGTTAAAGACAGCTGCCGTATGGGTGCTGGGAACTGAACCCAGGTCCTCTGCAAGAGCAGCCAATGCTCTTAATCACTAAGCCATCTCTCCAATCCCAGTTTATTCATTTTCTAAAATATTACTTGACCAATTAAAATGGAATCTTATTCATATTTTAATATGTGTTTATTTAGACACTGGTGTCTAGTCATCCCAGGCTGCTGTAATAAAATACCGCAGACTAGGTTGTTGTTCTCACTTGGGTCACGTCACCCTTCTTTTTCCACTAGCTCTTTCTTTTGGGATGGGAATGTCCACCCTATACTGTCCCATTGTTGTAATCCCAGCACTTGGGAGGTAGAGGAAAGAGGACCAGGCGTTCAATGTCATCCTTTGTTCACAGCTGGAGAGAAGTTCACCAGAGATTGAATCACGTCTGAACCATTCCCATACTTGATTTAGTTGACACATAGTTTAGACTTTGGATTTTAAACTGGTTAGTTGATGAAAAATCAGTTAAGGTTTTTGGCACTATTGGCATGGAATAAACGTATTTTAAAAATTATTTGTATTTTATGTATATGAATGTTTTGCTTGCATGTATGTAAATGCACCATGTGTGTGCAATATCCATGGAGGTCGGTTGAGGACATTGGATCCCCTGGAACTGGAGTTAAGGACTGTTAGCCACATGATTGCTGGGAACTGAATCTAGGTTCTCTGGAAGAGCAGCCAGCATCTTAACTGCTGAGCTATTTCTCCAGCCTCAGAATAAATGTATTTTGCATGTGGTAAGAAAATGAGTTTTAGGCCCTTAGTCATGAGGGAAATGCAAATCAAAACTACGTTGAGGGGCTGGCAAGACGGCTCAGCAGGTAAATGTGCTTGCCACCAAGCCTGATGACTTGAGTTCGATCCCTGGAACCCACATTGTGAAAGGAGAAAACTAACTTCTGCAAGTTGTCCTCTGTCTTCTACATATGCACAGTGATGCACATGCCCCTCCTCCACACATAAATAAATGTAAAAAAAAACTACACTGAAATTCTATCTCACCTTAGTCATAATGACTATCATCAAGAAAACAAAGGTTTGGGGGTTGGTGAGATGGTTCAGTGGTTATGTGCACTGCCTGCTTTTCCAGAGGAACTGGGTTCCTTTCCCAGCATCCACATGGTGGCTAACAACCATCCTTAACTCCAGTTCCAGGGCATCTGCCGTCCCCTTCTGGCCTCCTTGGGCACCAGATGTGCACATGGTGCACTTACATATACCAGGCAAATTGCTCATACATATAAATTAAAAATAAATAAAATCTTTTTAAAATGAGAAGAAAAAAGGTTTGCTTGGCATCTGGTAGCACATGCCTTTAGTCTCAGCACCTGAGAGGCAGAGGCAGGTGGATCTCTGTGAGTTCAAGGCCAGCCTGGTCTACATGGAGAGTTCCAGGCCAGCCATGGCTACATAGTGAGACCCTGTCTCTAAAAGAGGGGGAAAAACTGGGCATGGTGGCGCACACTTTTAATCCCAGCACTCAGGAGGCAGAGGCAGGCAGATCCTCTGTGAGTTCGAGGCCAGGCTGGTCTACATAGTGAGTTCCAGGACAGCTGGGGTTACAGGGAGACCCTGTCTCAAAAAGACCAAAAAAAGAGGGGGGGAAAAAGAAAGAAAACAAAGGCCAACAAATGCTGGTGAAGTGGGAGAGGGGCCTGACAGGGTCCCCCGCTGCACTGTTGGTGGAAATGTACCCTGGTGAAGGCATTGTAGAATTCAGTGTGGCTGTTTCTCAAAAGCAAAACCCCCAACTAAAAACAGAACCACCCTAGGATCCAAGTACACCACTCCTGGACTGTACCTGGAGAACTTAAAGCCAGCATCCCACAGGGTATCTGTGCACCCATGTTTACTGCCGCACTGTTCTATTCATGATAGCCAAGATATGGAACCAGTTTAGATGTTCATCAACACATGATTGGATAAATAAAATGTGTATATATGATGGAGTTTTATTTAGCCCTAAAAAGAATAAAATTATGTAATTTGCAAGAAAATGGATGGAACTGGAGATCAGCTTCATGCCAGTTGAAATAAGCCTGACTCTGAAAGGCAAATGTCACATGTTTTCTTTCATATGTGGAATCCAGGGGTGTGTGTATGTGTGTATGTGTTTGTGTGATGCACCAGGCCTGGTGCAATGTTATAATCCCAGTTAGTTATAGTCAGCCTGGGCTACAGAGTGAGTTCAAGGCTAGTCTGGGCAACTTAGTGAGACCCTGCCTCAAAATTTAAAAAGTAAAAAGAGTGCCAAGGATATAGTGATAGAGCACTTGCCTAGTGTGTAGAAGGCTCTAGGCTCAATCTTCAAATCCAAAAAATGACCCATGAAAACAGAAGGGTGACTCTTGAGGAGAGGAGGCGGGGGACTAAGGGTGAGTGGACCGAGAGAGAGTGATGGGGGGAGGGGTATGAGCTAAGTACCTGATATGCATGTGTGAAGATGTCATAATGAAACTCCATTGTTTGTACATTCATTTAGAAGAAAAGAAGATAAGTTTGGGGGACCTGGGGTGGAATGCCAGAGACTGGATTGCATCCTCTCAAAAGTCACATGTTGAAGCCTTAGTCCTGTGTGATGGTGTTTAGAGATGTGCTTTTGGGAAATTATTAGCTTTAGATGAAGTCTTGAGGGTTGAACTCTTGAGACCATAGTGAGCTTGCTGTTTCCCCTCCTGTCCTTAAGTAAAGACCACTGAGAACCCAGCAAGGAGGCAGCTGCTACAAGCCAGGGAAAGGGTCCTCCCCAGACCTTGGCCTGACATACACCCTTCAGCCTCCAGCACTGTGGGAATCAATGTCTGTGCTTTAACTCGCCCTGGGGAATTTGTGATGGCAGCAAAGCTGAGACAGCCAGGGCTGTGGACCACCTCTTCATGTGCCCGCCTATTTCCTTTTCTGCTAAATATCTGTTCCTAGCTCTTGCCCATCTTTCTATTGGGTTGTTATGTTAGTTTTGTATTGCTGCTGTAACAAAGTAATACAATTTTGATAGATTAAAATACAACTTGGGGCTGGAGAAATGACTCAGTGCTTAAGAACACTGGCTGCTCTTATAGAGGACCCAGGTTTGATTCCCAGCACCCACGTGGCAGCTAACAACTGTCTACACTCCCAGTTCCAACTCCAGTAACAACTCTCCTGACCTCCACTGGCATTGTAGAACATGGATGCACTTACATCATACATGTAGGCAATACACTCATACACACAACATAAAAATAAAAATAAAATAAAATAGGTCCAGAGAGATGGCTCAGTGGTTAAGAGCTTGTACTGCTCTTCCAAAGGATCCAGGTTCAATCCCTAGCAATCATGTCAGGTGGCTCACAACCACCTATTACTCCAGCTCCTGGGGGATCCAATGTCTCTGACTTCTGTGGGCACATGGTGGTCTGGAACTCCAGTTCCAGGGGATCTGATGCTCTCTTCTGGCCTCCACAGGCACTGAACATACATGGTGCACACATGGATGCAGGCAAAACATTCATACCCATAAAGTAAGCACAAGTAAAATATAGCAAAAAAATGAAAAAACACGCTCCCCACAGCTTTATTCACAACTACAAGGTGGAAATAGTCTATTATTTAAATAACCTGCCTATTGACCGATGACACAAAATGTTGTCTGTTCCTACACTGCAATATTATTCAGCCTTAAAAGAAAGAAAATTCTGATATTCTGACAACATGGGTGAACTATGCCGTGTGAAATAAACTAGCACAAAAGACAAATATTGCTTGATTCCACTTACAGGAGTGTCCAGGAGAGTCACATTCACTGAGAAAGCAGAGCGGGACTTTTCAGTGGATGGAGTTAAGGGGAATGTGGAATTGTTGGTTTTCTTTTTGATTTTTTGAGATAAGGTCTCTCCCTGTAGCCCCAGCTGTCTTGGAATTCACTATGTAGACCAGGTTGACTTTGAACTCACAGAGATCTCCCTGCCTCTGCCTCCCAAGTGCTGGGATTAAAGGTGTGCACCACCATGCCCAGCCAGAATTGTTGTTTAATGGGTACAAAATAACAGTTTTGTCAGGTGCAGAGTTCTGGAGATGGATAGTGGTGGTGTTTTCTGAATAATGTGAATGTATTTCAGGACACTGAATGCTTAAAAACGATGGGCACTGGAGAGATGGCTCAGCAGTTAAGAGCCTGTACTGCTCTTGCAGAAAACCTGAGTTCAGTTCATAGTGACTCACAGCCACCTCTAACTCCAGCTGCAGGAGATCTGATGTCTCTTGCCTCCACAGGCGCCTGTATACATGTGCACATACCTCCACACATAATTAAAAATAATTAAAATCGTTAAGTAAGATGTGGTGGCATACACTTTTAATCCCAGTACTCAGGAGGCAGAAACAGTAGATCTCTGTGAGATCGAGGCCAGCCCAGCCTACATAGAGAGTTCCAGGCCAGCAGGAGCTATAGGGAGACCATGTCTAAAACAACAACAAAAACAAACCAACCCTCCGCCCCAAAATTATGACACTACTAAATTTTATGTTATGATGTATTTTACCACCATTAACATAAAAAGAAGTCACATGGTAGCATCTGCACATGAAATAAAATTATAATTTATCTTTTTGTTCACTGAGCATTGAATGAACATTCTCTCTGTCAGCCATTCTGGCTCCCAATGAGAGCAAAATTCATGAACTGTCCTCAGGGCTCATGGTCTGGGAGGGCAATGTGTGCAAGAAAGTGCTATAAAGTGTTTAGAGTGACAGAAATCTATTGATGACATGAGAGGAGCGACCAGCTCTTCCTTAGGAGGCCACAGTGAAAGTCTGCGGATCTTTCTGGAAGATATAGCATGTGATTGGAATCCTCAAACCTGAAAATGTTCTCACTAAGCTTTGCTGGTTGGGGAGGGAGCAGTGTGAGCAATGTCTGGTTCATTCCATCTCTGTACTTGATTCCTCAGGTGGCAGAGGAAGACTGGGGGAGTCAGCACCAAGAGAGCTACAGGGTCTGGTAAGGTGTCTGGGATTCCCTTAAGGCAATGGAATTCTACTAAAAGGTTCTGATCAGAAAGGTGACAGAATTACTGTCACTCAACAATCATTTGTCCTATTTTCTTTTTCAAACTAAATAGAAAGTGAAAAATGACATAAAGCATGATGTTTTCAAGCTTGTTTGTAGAGCATAATGCACATGGGGTTGTAAAACAGTGCTGGGCTGGAGAGATGGCTTAGCACTAAAGAGCACTTGATGCTCTTGTAGAGTACCAGAGTTTGGCTCCTAGCACCCACATCAGGCACCTCACAACTGCCTGTAACTTCAGTTTCAGGGGATCTGACACCCTCTTCTGGTCTCTTCAGGTACTGCATCCACATGTACAAACACACACACACATAGACACACACAATTAAAAATAAAATCTTAAGGAAAACCATCAATTGCTTATTTGGATCCAAATTGCTCCAATCAGAAGGAACACTGATATTTACACATGAATCCTCATCTTACAAACTCCAGCAGCAGAGAAAATTTCTGAGTTCCTTTCTTCTCAGTAGTGTTCCAAATAAGCTTTATTGATGATATCTTGCATTTCATCTCAAGCTATTTTCCAATGAAAAGACTTATATAACCACCTTTGCTTAGTTTCAAGAGCTTTGCATGTCTTTGTGAGTCTGGAAACTAATACTTTCTATTGATAGCTATTTGTAAATCTAGAGTTCATTGGAACTACAAGCCAAAACACTCCACGGTGGGTGAAGGAATCACCCATAACATACAGCCAGGAAACCTGTTTCCTAGGAAGGCAAAACAATGCTGCTAGGTTCCTAGGAGATAAAGCAAACTATTGACATCCCAAGGCTCTGCTGGATGGTACTATTTCCCGTTTTTACCAGACTGCTAGGACTCCTCACCAGGTATTCCAGGAAAGCCCTGTTCCTGAAAACAATATCTTTCCTCACGATCCATAGCATTTCCTATAGTTTGTGTTGGGCAACTTATAAAAAAAAATCTCATTTTGTAAAAAAATTTCAAGGAATCTATATCAAGTAATTCAGAAAGTCTGCTCTTTACAAACAAGTCAGCATGGTTAAAAAAGAAAAAGAAAACTCCAAGACTTATTTCCAGCAACCTATCACTCCGTTCGCTCTGGAGCAGAGTCAGCGCCTCAGCTCTTCTGTCAGTAATATTAGCAAAAATTAACAGCAATGCCCCATGCTTTGCAAGTGATAAAGAAACCAAGTGATCAAGTTGAAAGATATTCTGACCATTTCTTTGTTATCTAAAACAATGGTTTTTAGTGTGTGTGTGTGTTGTTGGGCATGGGTGCCCAAAGGACAGTTCCTGATGGTTAGAGTCGTTAACATCTCTTATTTTATTTATTTATTTATTATTTATTTATTTATTCATGTGGTGTGTGTGTGTGTGTGTGTGTGTGTGTGTATGTCAGGGTCTCACTACATAGCTCTGACTGGCTTGGAACTTGCTGTGTAGACCAGCCAGGCTAGCCTGAAACTCAAGACATTCACCTGCCTCTGCCTCCTGAGTGCAGTGATTAAAGGTGTGCTCCACCGCGCCTGACTGAGAGACATTTTTGATTGTCAGGACCAGGGTGATGGTGGTGGGGGGTACTACTGGCATCAGATGGACAGAACCCAGAGATAATGCTAAACATTCTATAATGCACAGCACAGCCTCCTCCCTCTCTAATGAGGACTTATCCAGTCTAAAATGTCAATGTTGCCAAGATTAAAAAGCCCTGATACGGAACTAGAATCCAAGTGCCTGCCATCGAGTTCTCTCAGAAAGTCAAATTATTCTATCTACTCAATTTTCTCCTGTTATGGGTGTTGGGAGTTATAGTAAGGTGCAAGACCAGCCTATGCTCCCTACTCTACTTTATAATGTGACCACATGACTAGTTTTCACCAGTGGAACACAATCCAAAGTGATGTGCGCTACTTCCCACCAAGGTCTCTCAGGATTCTGTTTTCCTTTCTCCTGGCAAGATGTACGTGGCAACGAGGGTCTGTGATAGAGCCACATTTGGAGCCTGGATCCTTGAGTCACCATATGGGAAATAGCTATCCATCAACTGAGAATACAGGTGGCATTAAAAAAATTATTTTATGCTGGGTATGGTGGTGCCTTTAATCCCAGCTCTTGGGAGGTAGAGGCAGGCTGATCTCTGTGGGTTGGAGGCCAGCCTGATCTACATAGTGAGTTCTTTGCCAACTGAGGCTCTAGGGAGACCCTGTCTTTATGTTATGTTATATTATATTATATTATATTATATTATATATTATTTGTGTGTGTATGTATGTGTATGTGTGTGTGTGATATGTATGTGTGTGGGTGTGGGTGCTATGCCACAAAGTGCATGTGGAG